TCTGAAGATCTTCTCTAGACTGTGTGGTACAATGCAGGGAGTGTCTGGTGGGGGGCAGAGTTTAAGGAAACCACACCTGACGTGATTAAGTGAATGAACGGCAGGTGTAGAAGTGGTTTAAAGGGGGAAAGATTCAGCAGGACCTCCGCCTTGCTGTGGCTGCAGTGTTGAGAAAACAAATGCAGAGGCTCTGCTGTGAGAGACCCGGCTTGAAGCATGACAGTAGCAGGTGTGAGGCGCTACTAGTCGGGGAGGTGTTAGAAGGTTGTGCCGCCATGTACAGAATGAGTGAGCAAAGACTTGATTAGCTGCTGTAGTAACCCTGGGGAGGGGGGTGGAGAAGAACGACAGTTGCGGAGGGGATTGTGAGAGGAATAGCCTGCGAGGAAAAGAGTGAAAACATCAGTCTGCGAGGAGACTGACAGAAGAAAGGGAGCTTTATGAGATCATTGAAATATTTAAAGGGACAGCATCCTGCTAGGGTGTGAGAGCAGGGCTGTCATATCTGCTGTATGAGTGAGCTGTGATTTGATTAGTGAGTTAGTGTGTGGTAGAGGGACCCTCCCCCTGGCAATACATTGGTATCGGGGAAGCGAGTGGGGTCTATCTATCACCTCTGCAGTGGTGGCTGGGCACAGAGTGAGGTGTATTTGACAGCTGTGAGTTCACAGCCTAAGGGCATGAGAGTGAGACACCAGAAAGGTTGTGTGTGTAAGAGAGGGACAGTGTGTTTTGGCACGGTGTGTAATGCGGAAGAGACTCGGTGATGTAGGTAGCGTGCGTTTGTGTAACCCAATCTGGTGGCATCAGGAGAGGATGCCAGGGCTGGAGGTGGACCTGGGAGTCTGAGGCACTGGTTGTGTGTGAAACAGTGACCTAATGGAGTAGGAGCAGGAGGCTCTGTGTCGGGGTCTGGGAGCAGGAGGTTCCTAGCAGTGAGGACAACAGGATTAACTTGGTGAACTTGAGAAGGTTCACCGAACTCCGAAGGTAAAGGGCCCAGAAGTAACAGAATGTGGAGTCACATGTCCTGTTACCCCGATGAGGGGGTCAGTGTGATCACCACTATCGGAGGAGAGTGCGTGTGTAAGAAAGTAAAAGAACACAAAAGAGCTTATAAAGGGGCGTGACAGGGGAGATTGAGAGCATTTCCACGCCCAATGTGGCATCAACTACCCCCATGGCACCACAACTGAACAATTCATCCTACCTTCCTGGGGCTGATGTTTATACCACACATACCACATACTCATCCCCTAAATCTTTATACAATGGGCTTCAAATTTATTCATATCCGTAGTGAAACAAGAACAATATACATAAATTTTACTAATTTAATAATGTTTCTTAAATTTTAAAGAAATGTTATATAATAATTTTAATGTAGTAGTTAGTATTTTGTAAATTCCCATTTGGCAGCGATTACATTGACTAGGTGGCCCCCGTAGTGTTCTATAAGGTTCTGCAACATCAGAGAGGAGATTTATGAACAGAACAGATTTGTCAGATCGGATGTATGCTTTGCATCACTGTTAGGCTGTAATGCCCATTTTCAACCAAGCTTGAGCTTCTTTAAAACAACACCAAAACATAACAGACCCCCCCCCCCATTACATCACATTACATGAACATTAGGATTTTCACAATACTGATATCTTTTACCATGTTGATAAGCATGTCCAAACATTTTATTTAATCTGAGCATAAGGGATTGTTTCGAGAAACATTCAAAATTATGTTTGCCACTTTTTTGTGGTAAGCCCTCAGAAAAGATGACATCAAATGGTAGTTTTCGACAACTAAGGATATCAGTGTGTACTGGAGATCTCTTAACTGTTGCCTTTGGATTTACAGAGTACTTCTCAAAACACTTGTTTCAGAGCACGTGGTGATGATATACTGTACCGTACTTGCATCCTATTCCCGGAAGGTTGGTCACTACACCAATACCCTTAAATGTCATCACAATGGTCTTTACAGTAGAAAGTAGTAAATTCAGATTTTAATTGATTTTTTTATAGTGCTGAAATGAATTGTACAATACACAGTAACATACTGAAACAGGATTGACACTTCTAATTCCTGGGATCCTGTGTTTCTGGGTGGTTGTAGGGAGGTGGGCAAAGAGGCAGTGGTCACAGGCCTTTGTCTTTTTATTTTTTTTCCAGCTTAATTATAATAAAAGCAATTGTTTGCATTTCTATAGAGCTTTTTATTCCAAAGAATCCTAAAGCACTTCATATATAGGTGGGAAGACTCCTTTGTCTAATACTTAAGTATAGCATCTGGATGGGTGGCATGGCTGCAATTACGCAGCCCCACTACACAGCAGATCAGGTGGGAAGTGAGAAACTGCTTCACTAATCATATTAAGATGGATGTTTAGGTAAACCAGATTGTGCAAGCCCAGGGTAATTAAGCAAGGAGACCAGGGTTAATACCCATATACAAATTCTTACAAACAGTGCAATGGGTTTTTAACGGTCACTTACTCTGATCCCCAGTTTAACATTTAATTCAAAGGGTAGTTCCTCCTACAGCATAACATTATTGACATCATACTGGGGCACTGGTTTCGAAGTTGTGATCCAGAGGGAATGGCTCACCAAAACCAATGACAGGAGTATTGAAAATCAGCTTTCCTAAGAGCTCACTCAGACCAAGTCTAAGTTGCAAGAAAAAGTTTGTGAATCCTTTGGATTTCTGCATTAATTATGCATAAAAATGTGGTCTGATCTTCAACTAAGTCACAATAATAGACAAACACAATCTGCTTAAACTAATAACACACAAACAATTGTACTTCTTCTTGTCAGTACTGAACACATTGTTTAAACATTCACAGTCTAGGTTGGAAAAAGAATGTGAACCTCTAGGCTAATGACTTCTCCAAAAGCTAATTGAAGTCAGGTGTTCCAATCAATGAGATGAGATTGGAGGTGTGGGTAAGAGGTGCCCTGCTCTATAAAAAGGCACATAAAGGTTGGTTACTGACAGAGACTGGTCTTCTCAAGAAAGAGCTGTTTGTGTAAACCGTACCCTGATCAAAAGAAATATCAGAGGAGCTTAGAAGAAGAATTGTAGAGATGCATTAAGCTGGAAAAGGCTACAAAAGCATTTCTAAAGGCCTGCGTGTTCATCAATCCACAGTAAGACAAACGGTCTACAAATGGAGGAAATTCAGTACTGTTGAATGGTGTAAATGGAAGGACACAACGGAGGAAACAACTGCTCTCCAAAAAAACATTGCTGTAGGTCTCAGGTTTGCAAAGGACCACTGGATGTTCTACAATGCTTCTGGCACAATGTTCTGTGGACAGGTGAGGGAAAAGCTTAACTCTTTGGCAGAAACGTGCAATGCTATGTTTAGAGGAAAAAAAGCACTGCACACCAACACCAAAACCTCATCCCAGCCGTTAAGCATGGTGGAGGGAGCATCATGGTTTGGGGCTGCTTTGCTGCCTCAGGGCCTGGACAGCTTGCTATCATAGAGGGAACAATGAATTCAAAATTGTATCAAGA